GCCGGTGCCCACCTGGGCAAGGGTGGGTGCAACCCACTGGGCAATGCAAAGTGCTTAAACTCTTGCAAGTTGTAGTCGCGTCCGTTTTGGGATAGCTTCTGCTATAGATGTGGAAATTTTGGGGCTTGTTTCATAGGTCTCTGGGGTGTTTGGGATGCATCTGAGCATCCCCACTCAGGTGATGGGTATGAGACGGCAGAACACCCCGGAAGAGCCGTTTAGCGGGTTTTCACTCTCCTTCTCCTCGTTTTCAGGCCGAGCCAAGTCTTGCCTGGATCATGCCGAAGCGGAAATGCAAATTTACTGAAGAGCTCCAGGCCAAATACCCCTGCTTCCGTGTGGGCCGGGAGAGATGGGAGGCGGAGTGCTTGGTGTGCCAGGAGGGCACCTACGTCTCCGTGGCCAACAAGGGCTCCCTCGACCTGGAAGCCCACGTTCAGTCCATGAAGCACAAGAGGAACGTGCTGGGGGGCGGCTCGGCGGCCAAGCTGGCCAGCTGCTTCCTCCCCGCCGACTGCCAGCCCTTCGACGTGGCGGCCGAAAACGCCTTGGGCTTCCCCACCACTGTGCTCCAGGACTGCTGTGACTCCTTGGCCAGCTCGCCTGGCTTGGCCAAGATGCCCGAGCCCGGCGTAGATGTCTTGGGCTTGCAAATCAAGACGGAGGCGAGGTTGGAGGAGGCTCTGGCTCCCTTTGGGCTGGACCGCGGTGTGGGGGACCCGCTGGATGGGGTCCCGTTCTGCGGAGTGGCCCTGGCTGTCAGTGCCAGTGACGGGGGGACACCGTTTCCCATCCAAATCCGGTATTTTGACTGGAAGAGGGGTGGCCTCCAAACGAGGGTGATGGCTGTGGAGCCGGAGCCGGGTGAGCCGGCGCCTGCTGCCGCTGCTGCCGTGCTTGCCTGGGAGATCTTGGAAAGGCACGGCCTGCGTCAGAAATGCGTCGCAATAGTGGGCGACAGCCGCAATGCCATGTTCGGGGGGCTTGGGCCAGCTGAGGGCCCGGTTGACGTCCCCGGGCTGCGGGAGCTGCTGAAAGGTGCTTTCATCGCCACCGACTGCCCCGCGCACATCCTCAGCAATTGCATCCAGCATGGGGCAGATAGCCTGGAAGTCGACATCCAGTCCGTTGTCTGGAAGATCTATACCTATGTCTCCGTCTACGCCGTGTGGACGGAACCGCTGAAAGACTTCTTGGAGTTTGCCAAAAGGGAGTACCGGCGGTTGCTGTATCACGGCAGGACGCCCTGGCTGCTGCTGCTCCCGGCGATCACCCGGCTGCTCCAAGCGTTCCCCGCCTTGAAATCTTTCTTCCTCTCCCTTAACAAACCCCCCTTTGCCATCAAGAACTTCTTTGAGGATGACTTTAGTGAGATCTACCTGCAGCACATGGCCTCACAGGTGGCCGTCTTCGACATGCACCTCAAAACCTTGGCGAGGGAGGACAACTCCCTTTCGGAGGTGCTGGGAGTCCTGGCCTCGGTCCGTCGCACCCTCCTGGAGCGCCGAGCCCACGGCTTCATGTCACTGCGGGTGAAGGAGCTGCTGGCGGAGAGGCGCGCTGCCGGGAGGGACGGGCAGTGCGATGCCTTCTGCCGCCACGTTCAGAGCCTCTATGTGGCTTTCGTCGAGTACCTGGATGCCCAAACGGGGCAGTTCGAGGAACTCTCTTGTTTCCAGTGGATGCAGCTGCGGGGGCCACCGTCGTGGGAGGACGTGGAGGCTTGCATCAAGTACTTGGCGGACCACGGGGTCGCGATCGATGACAGTAAGTGCTTCGATCAGTTCTGCCACCTCACCACCTTCCTGAGAGACTGCAAAAGCAGCATTGATTTCGGCGCCCTGCAAACCCACCAGAAATGGGTACGCTTCTTCAGCAGCTCCCGCAGCCTGGCTGGCCACTCGGAGCTCCTGAGGATGGCTCAGGTTTTCTTCGCCATCCCCTCTTGCGGGGCTGACTTCCCAAGGGGGCTTTTCCTTACGTGAAGCCCACAGGACCAGGCATGGATCTGTCATTTCTGGGGAAGGCGTCCCCTTGGCCGGGCTAACAAAAAGCCTGTGGCTTGCAAGGATTCTTGTGCAACTATTGACCTCTCAAATCCCTATCTCTATTTTTTTTTAATTGGTCAGCCAACCAGGAAGGGTTAGTTATTGCTGTTTTTAAGGGCTGTACACAATCCACAGGAGAGGTGATTTTGCTCTTGTGGATGCCTTGTGCAAATAAATACTTCTGGCGTGCACGAACGCATTTCTTTGCCTGCTAGCGCAGCAGCAGCTGCTTTGCTTTTTCCAGTGCGGCAGCTCTCCCCGGAGCCTGGTTCGAGACAAGCGGTTCGAACGAGCTCTCTGAGCTAAGACGGGCCTCTCAGGGATGCCAACCGTGGACTGAATGAAGCCCTCAGAGAGGCCGTTAGTAGGGTCAGCATGGGCCCATATATCTGATACCTGCTCTGATTATCTGTGGGGTGAAGAGGGGTAACTGGGGGGGTGAGATTGCTTCCAGGGTGGAAGTCAGCCATGACTCGAAGGACTTGTTTCTTTGGAGAGAGGGAGGGTGAGTCTCTTGCCTTGCACATACAGCTTCCCCTGGGGTGCTAAGCTTGGATGCAAGCCCTGAAAAGCAGAGCTCAAGGGCTCCGTCCCCTGCCCCAGCTCTGTCTGAGGGATGGAAAAGGCTCTTTGTGGTCACTGAGGCACCTGGAGGTCTCTGAGAAGTTTTTGGGGTAGGGTGACTCTATCACCCACCCATTTTGGTTGTGTCCTCTGGGGTGTGTGAAGGGCCCTCCCAAGACCAGACACAAGAAAACACGTGATGAAGAGAGTCCTGCCTTCCTCCTGCCATTCACCGCCCTCACACTGTAAGCAAGAGGATTTATCTCGGGGATGCAGGGCACCTTGAGACGTTTATTGCCTGCGCTATTAAACACAGCAGAGATAAGGTGCCCAGCCAGCAAGTATTAATGTGAAATAAATATTTGCCTATCTGGAGCATTAAGATTCACTTGCTGCCAAAGTATCCTTCATATATGTGTATGTCCACATGCAAAATCTTCCTCCCTTGCAGTTTTCCTCCTGCGATTGCCCTATGACTTGTGTAGCTGGCAGCTGCTGAAGCAACGTGTCGTGAACATGCACGGCCTCAACCCATCGATCTGGGTTAACAGTGAGACTCCAGGGAAACCCTCCTATTTGTTTATCTGTGCCATGGGTGAGGGCTTCTTTCCTGGTTTATCATTAAGCGAGCAACAGTTAATTGCTCCTTACAGCTTTTTACCAAACAGAGGGTGAACCTCCATCCTCCGTAACTTCCTGGTTCCATCTGGTATTAAAAGTTATCTCAATTAATAAAAATCAAAGTGCTTGGAATTAATGGGAGCCCTGCCATCGTGACACCCAATTGCAGCAGATTCACGGCTCTGCCATGAAAGCAATCGCAAGAACAGTGCTGCCTGTCCGAAAGTGCCTTACCCTTGAATTTGGTGCTGTTGTGTCACAATATTGGTGCAAGCACACCCTGCCCAGGTGAGGACTTTGCCCAGGTGTGGTGAGAAGATTGCTTTTAGTCAGTGCTATGATTTGCTTCTCCAGAGAGCTGGTTGGAGCAGCGACCCTCTGTTCCCTGCCAGACATCTGGACGCTGCCTGAGATGAGCTCTCTTTTTGTGCGGCGCGTGGAAATCGAGATAGCCAACAAAACCCGGAATGTGACCCTGCATACCCCCAGGTAATGTTGCAATAAACAGCTCCCTGGCAGGTGAGAGGGTGCAGGGGGCAGCGAGTTTGAGGGGTGGTGAAAACGTTGCCAGAGGGGACTCCCAAAATTCATGCAGAGGGCCGAAGTCAGAGTATTTTCCTTGGGGCATGAAAAATAAGTCGCAAGTGCTCTCCCCTTCCCTTCCCTCCTCAACTGTGCTCTCCTTCTAGGAGCTACTGCTTCAGTGGCTACAGCTGCATACCACCTAGTCCCAAGATCCCCACTGGGGCCACGGGGAGCTGCCAATTCACCAATGTAGTGCTCAGCTTCCGGGGGAGCGTGGGGGTCCTGGTGTATGAGGCAGACTCCTTCACGCTGGCCATCCTCTTCTCCAACCCCTACGACTACAACATTTTCAATATGGAGGTTGCCCTGGAGATCTCCATGGAAAAAGCCCACCTTGGCAGCTTGGAGGATGTCTACAAGAGGATGTACAACAGCCTGCCCGCTGGCAACATTAAAGACACCACCTTCCAGCGAGCCAAGCTCCATGCGTGCCAGGAGACCCTCACAGTCTCCTCCAACCACGTGCGGGTCATGGCCACCATGTCCAATGCTGCTGACTCAGTCATCAAAGTAATTGTGGAGGATAAAGATAGTTCCCCTCTCCCATATTCAGTGCAAGCACCACCTGGTAGCCTTGGGCAGTATCAGCATTGGCCAAAGAACTGGAAGTACCTGCTAAAAGGCAACACCGCTACGTGATAGGTGCTCTCTATTTTGGCTCTTGCTTGCTCTAGATGCCAGGCAGTGTGCGCTTTCCTCAATAAAGGCTAAAGCCAAGTGATTGTCCATCCAAACTGGTGCTGCGTTGCTCGAAGGCAGGGGAGTGAGAAGCCCGTGGAGGAGGGAGGATGCTTCTCTCATCTCCTAGCTGCCTTTTTAACTGGCTCGGAAGACTCCCCACTGAGCAGGGAGCAGGGCTGGAAGCAGGGTTTGAAGGTCCTGCACACAGAGTTGGGTGGGCTATGCTGTGCCTGGGGCTTGGGAGCTTGCTTGCACCTGGAGGACAGCTCCTCCCCTCAAGGTGTTCTCTTTGGTTTGAATTACAGCTTAGAATTCGTTATGAAGTTTCTCTACGCTGGGTTCAAAAATCTAGCGCAGCCCTACGTTTGTCGGACCATCCCTCTGTTTGTTGTTCCCTCGGCCATCGTGCCAGTCTATAAGTCATCTCTCTCCTAACACGACTTACCTCTGTGCCTGTCCATCCATCTGCCTGCCCATCCACCATCCCTCCATCATCTCTTGTAGAAGGGTACATTTTTGAGGTGAAAAGCTGGTGTAACTGGACTAGCTCCAGCCAGGTACTAGGAGCCATGGGCAGGTATCTTTTGAGCAAAATCTCTTTTTGGTTCTGTCATTCGCCTTCCCTCCCTGTGCATCAGAGGAGAGAACAGCTCTGGGCTTCCTCATGTGCTGCTGCTTATCTGATGAGAGGTTAGTGGTTACCACGAATTGTGTCATGTTCAGCGGTGAGATACTGCCTTCCAGGGTTACCATTTCCTTCTGATGAACAGATTTTGCTCAGGCCTTTTTTCTTTTTGTTTGGCTTTGTGGTTGGAAGTGGCAATGGCAGCCAAGCAAACAAAAGAGCTTCTCGGTGACCTGGGGGAGCAGAGGTGGACAGGGTCTCAGGAGCTGTGGTTTAGCTGAGGCCCTGTGGGCAGAGGTGAGGGCAAGGGTGAGGTCTGAAGGGTTTTGCTGGGAAGAATGGCACAAGACAGCTCTGAAATGCAAATCAAAGCCTTTTTTTCAGCCCTGGGTTCCCTGACAGTTATTATCTGAAAGGTTCAATGCAGCTGAAAGGGAGATGGGGCAGAGCAAGGCAGAGATGTCTCCATCACTGTGCCCAATGGCCTGACACCCCTCCCCTTTCCTCCCTCCAGCCAGTGGTATTAGGGGCTAGGTGATATGGAACAAACCCAGCTTGTCCCCTTTCCCTTTTCCCCTTGTCCCTTTCAAATGGGTCTGTTGCATCAGGCACGTCCATGGTGAATGGGGGCCTTTGGTGGACAGTGTGCAAAATGGCCCTGATGGAGAGTCCTGCCAGGTTTAGCCTCTTCCTCCCTTGGGTACTGCTGGCAAGCAGTTCTTTGTGCTGGCTGTGCCTTTGGGAAATGCAGTCCAGCCCTTACATCTTTATGGGCTCCAACCATGCCTGTCTGAGGCAAGGTCTACAGCTGAGACTCCCATAGGACCGGGGCTCCCAGCTGCATCTGGTGGAGGATCTCAGCTCCTAGCCTTTCAGAGATCACTAAAAAGGACCAAGAGTCAGAGAGTGAAGCACCTTTTTAATGGATGTACTTTCCTGCTTCTGAGCCACCGCAATGTTCACAGCCACTCCCAGGAGCCTGGAGCAAACTGTGCTGGCTCCAGCAGTGGAGCTGTGTGTTTTGTGGCTGAGTGCTGTGTCTCTGGGGCTGCAGATGGAGCAGCTGGGTCCTCAGGACACTGGAAAGGCTGGAGAGGTGATTTCACCAATTGCCTACACAGTGCAGGTGGCACTGACCCAAGGGATATCATCTTGGGCCAACCCCCTGCCATGGCTGTGAGGCACTGCAGATATCAGAGTGGCCCATGCAGCAGTCCTGAGCACCCCAATGTATTTCTCTGGTCCAGCAAAGAGGACCGCTGTCTGCAAAGGCTCCTTGACTTCTTCCTTCACAATGCTTGTGAAATGTGGTGACCTTCTAGCAGGAGATGAAAGCCTTCAGCTTGGCCAGCTGGACTCGCTTTCCTGCAAGGCAGACATAGTGACGTGTGGGTAAACGTGCTCGCAGGGAGGAACTACCACACCATGAACATGAGACAAACACAGCACCATGCCTGTGCAAGGGCTTTCAAAACAAGCTGAAGGACTGACAGCCCAGGTTATGCCTCCTAATCTCGGAGGCTGCCTTGAGCTGCTCGATTTTACCGTGAATGCATGTGAGTGCAGGCTCGGTAACCACAGCATGGCACCATGCACCGTGCCACAGCCAGCCACGCCGACTTAGGCTGCTCTTACCTATCTGCAGCAGGAGGTGGACAGCTAAAGCCAGAGTCAGGACGGCGAGAACCACAAAGGCCAGGCTGCCTGAGACTCCCAGCCCTGGGAGAAAGCAAGCGGTCTGCAGTGAGGAGGAGTGCTGGTTCCCAGGGGAGCCAGGTCAGCGGGGTATAGCCAAGCCCTGCACCATCCCCACCATGTCTTGGGCTGCTTAGCTCATTTCCAGTGATGCTAGGAAACCGGAAAAGCTGCCACCACGTTGGTGGGAAGGGACCTGTGTAGCAAACTCCCCCTCGAAGAGGGACTATTCCAACTTCTGATAGCTTGGCCATGGCTCAGCATAACCCAGTATTGAAAAAAATGCTGAGGCTGGAGACTGTCCGGCCTTGCTGGACCCATCCCAGGGCTGCAGCTGTCCCAGGGCAGCTTAGAAACTAGGATGCGTGGTCAAAATTTTATCCTGTGGGGAGCCACAGCAAAAATGGAGAACGCAACTTCTTACCTTCAGCTGCCAGCTCTGGGCTCGGGGCAATGCTGTCATTCCTTGGGGCGTCCTTCCTGCCTGGGGGACAAACATGCAGAGAAGGGGTCGCCCCCAATCCACCCTGTCCTTGTCACATCATGGGGGTTGCCAGAGCGCAGACAGAGATTTTTGGGGTGGACCCAGGATGCTCTAACATGGTTAACCAGGAGCATCCCTGCACCAGGCTGGTCCTGCTGGTAAGGTCCCAGCAAGGTTGGCACTGCAGGGCCCCTGTACCTGTGCAGTAGGAGCAGCCACTTCTGGGGTAGTTCATGGCGTACTCCTGATATGGGGCAGGGAAAGTCTCCTGTTGTCTAATCCACTCACCTCTGGCACTCAGGAGCCACGGGACACTCAGCCTTGAAAGCTTGACTTGACCAAGGCTGCTCAGGCGCAGGTACCCACAAGAGTAGGTGCCGCTGCTCTCTGGGGAGAGCCGGAAGGTGAGTGTGGAGGTGAACTGCTCTTTCCTGACCGGGTGGTTTGCCAGCTCCACCCCATTCTTGCAGAAGAAGATGCGGGCAACGGGGAAGTGGGAAAAAACGAGGCACCGTGCAAAAATCAAGTCGCCTTCCTGAGCTGCAGAGCTGTTTGAGAAGAACACTGGCGGGGGAAAGTCACCTGAAATGGCAAGGAGACGCAGTTGTGGCATGTCAGCACAGAGGGAGAGGTGCTGGTGAGCAATGGCTTTTAAGCTCTCCAATGGCAGCGTAGACTTGTGCAGCTGCCTCGGCGCTTTTTGATGGAAATAGAAAAGTGAAGGGGAAAAAAGAAACACGCGTTGGAAGAGCCTGCCCGTTTTTCAGCCAGCTGGTGACTCATGGAATAAATTTGAAAAAAGTAAGAAATACTTTGACTCGTGAAAGCAAAAGCTCTGCTCATGTCAGGAATTTGCACTAAAACAGGTAAAGACAGAAACTGACCTGGGAAGAAAAGAATTGGAGGGTAAATATGTTGAAAAATGTGGTTTTTGGTAACCAAAACAATTTTTTCATCCTGGCTGAGTAGGTAGAACATTCTCAGGCAAAAATATATAAAACGCAGGGAAACCAAAGCACTTCACGGCAGTATTTCCAAAGCGAAACGTTTTCCTTTCCTTTAATTTCTAGCCAATCTTTTGTGCTCGGGTGAAATTATGTAATTAAAACTTGCAGCTTCCTCCATCAAAACGTTCCCGAGCAAATGTGACATCTTTCGCAGTGCAGCCACAATCCCTACAGGAAAAATCACATCTTTGGAGGTTTCTTAATGTCCTCTAGCTAGAAAAGAAACCTCCAGCTCTTCCCATGGCTGTAGACAGGAAACTGCTTGCCACAGAGCTAAGCAATGCCCTCCCTCCCCTTTGGGCAAGCATGCAGACACTGGGGGTTTTCCAGCCTTACAGCTGCCTTGTGCGCAATGAATCCAGCCCCGGTGTGGTCAGATGGTCACCCAGGACATGCTGTGCCAGAGGAGAGGGAGGTTGCAGTTCTTGGGTGAAAGAGCTGTAGCGGGGCTGGAG